AATTCACAGCTGGAAGGGCCACATCAAAGTCAAGGAACACTGGGCCCAAATCAGTATCCTCAACACTCCAGACACTTCAGAGGCAGAGAGACGGCCCCGAGCCCCCTGTGTCTAGACAGTGGGAGGGGTCAGTCCCTCTTGAACCGAATCTTTCTCGAAGAAGCTTAATTTCATCAAAATAAAAGTATTGGGCTTTGTCAGCAAGACACTAAGCAGAAACCAGTGCCACCTCTGAGACGCTGGGGTCCTCATGGGACAAATCTCAGGCCTAGACTGTACTATCTCATTCCCAGGGCATCTTTCCTTCCAAAGGCATCTTCTGATATGCTGATTAGATCACTGGACTCCCCGATTTCTTGCTAGGCTAAGGTTGAAATCGATACAAGAGTCTGAATAGTTCGGAAACCTTTAAGGGTTGACACATGGCACCCTTGCTGAAGCCGTTCGCTCTATAAAATGTTTTGATGAAAGGTAAGTACCGGACAACTGAAGCTAATAAGAAGGACATACAGGGGAAAGGATCGCTTTTGTTCCCGGGCTTCGTTTCCTCCCTCACCAATTAGAAATAAGTAACGGTGTCCTATCTATATGCTCACGACATCACTTGAACGTATTTACAGAGAACGAACTTCTCGCTCTGGACTAGGATTACAAATACGAAGTACAGGGGTGGGCAAAAGCAGGTTTACAGTAATTGATAAAGTAGACTTACAGTAATTAATAAATAGTAGTTCAAAAATAAACTCGTACTCACAACTGTAAACCGCCTTTGGCCCACCCCCGTTTATTTCCGCCCTCAAACGGATCAGACGTAGAATCAGCCCGAGCAAGGCCGAACAGAGGCCCCACGGGTGTGGACGGAGAAGCAGTCAAGCCCCTTTTAACCAAGTCGGCCGCGCGAGGCGCCTAAGGGATCGTCATTTGCCAACACCCGCAAGACTCGATCCGGGGCCGATCCGGGGCCGGTCCGGGCGCAGCCCGCCCACTCTGGGGCCCACGATGCAGGCCCGCGGGCCAAGCTCCAGCCGTCGGCGCACGCGGCGGGGAGCGGACCAGCGGCGAGGCCCGGGGACGGTCCGCCCATCCCCCGGACTCACCCCGGAGGTCCAGCTCGCGGTCCCGCACGGCGTTGGTGTACTGCGCCGCCTGTTCGATCAGCTCCGCCGTCAGCTTCACCATCCTGCAGCCCCTACTCGCGGTGCGCGGCGCGCCGGCTGCCTCCCGCCCGCCAGACGTCCCGGCGTGCCCCGCGCCCGCCCACAGGCAGCACCAATCGCACGATGCGCGCGCGCGCAGCCTAACGTCCAGGCCGAAGCAATCGGAGAGCCACGCCCCCGATCTCATTCTCCTCCGAGATCCCGGCGCACCTGAGCCACGCCCCTGGTTTTGGTTCCTTTCCTGGGAGCATATATGGAGTGTGGAGGGTCCCTGATTCCAGACATGTGTATTCGCTAGTTAAGCAAAATGTTAAAGCACACGAGTGGGACATTCTCACGTACCGGTGCACCTGAAGGTGAAGGAAAATCTGTTGATTGCCTTCATTCTACCCGGGAGGGGCGGCAACCCGAGGGTCCAGGGTATAGATTCCCGACGGGGTTCTGGGCTTTGGCCCCGGGCTACAACGTGAGGACCGGGGGTGAGTCGCCTGCTCATGGCCTGACCGCTGGGACCGCCCTACAGGCTGGCACGTCAGACCCAGCACAGGGCACGGTCGAGTTTCTGGTTAGGCCTGTTCGGACAATTAAGTATTTATATTGATGCAGGATATACAGAAAACTGCACAAAGCAGAAGTCTGAAACGTGACGCATGACCACAGAGTGAGCTTTTGTGCTAGCTGCCGCCAGGCTGCAGAAAAAGAACACTATTCCGAAAGCCTCCGATCTGAGGATGATACTTTCATTTCTTCTTTTACAATTTTTATACTGGTTCTCTTTTAAAATTATATTTATTGATCTTTTGGGGGGGGGTGGGGAGTGAGAAACATCAATTTGTCTTTCTACTTATCGGTGCATTCACTGGTTGCTTTATGTACGTGCCCTGACCGGGGATCGAACGTGCAACCTTGGTGTATTGGGATGATGCGCTAATCAACTGAGCTACCTGGCCAGGCCCTACACTAGTTCGTTATCTTGTTTATTTATTTATTTGCCCTGTTGCATTGGCTGGGATCTCCAGCACAGTGTTGGACAGGGGTGGTAGTGGACATCCATTGACAGGCATTACTCATTACTTCATAGCCAACAAACACACTGAGGGACAATCCACAGTTAACTACAAATAACAGCCTCGGTCTTTAAAGGGTTCAAGGGGAGGAACTGAAGACTAAATGCAAAGTGTAGTCTAAACTGGAACCTTTTGCTAAGGGCATTCCTGGGACAAGCGGCATAATTTGAATCCAGGCAGAAGGTTGGATAGCAGTAATATATCAAGGTGAATTTCCTGATTCCATTGTTTATGCAGAAGGTCCTTGTTTATAGGAAATAGGCTCTAAAATATTTAGAGGGGGTAACGGGTATCATATCGGTAATTTCCTTTCAAATTTCTTGTGAGAAAATTTCTTTGTACTATGCTTGCAACTTTGCTGTACTTTTGTGATTCAAAATTTTAAAAAAGTTAAAACAAAGCCGACCTTCATGTAATTCCAGAGAGGCCCACCAGATGGCGTGCTTAGACCGCAGAACTCGTTTTACTTGCCAGTCCGCTCGCCGGATTTTTTTTTTTTTTTTTTAAAGGTTTCGTTTTAGAAAGGAAATTTGTATGGGTTTCTGTTGCTTCAGTGCATGAACAGATATAAGTCAAACTGAGAAAGTTCTATTAATTTCAGGGCATCTCTGTGAAGTTGAGGAAAGATTTTCTTTCTTGATTTAATTTCTTTTGGCTAGGGTTTCTCACCTTGGCACGGCTGACATTGGGAGGCTGGATACTTCTTTATTGTGACAACTGTCTCATTCATTTCAGGACGTTTAGCAGCATCTCTCTCCTCGACCCACTAGATGTCAGTACATTCCTCCAATTGTGATCCCAAAACACCTCCAGACGTTGCCAAATGTCCCCAGGGAGACAGAAATCACCCCCGGTTTGAGAAACACTGTTTTTGGCAATATGTTCTCTGCTGTGGGTACTTTAAGTTTCTCTTCACTCACCAAAGAGCCTAGAGAGTGTTTGATCACCCTTAGTGTAGCTGTTACATAGTAGTGGGGGGGGGGGGGGGGGCTTGGAGTGGTGGGCACTGAGCCCCAGGGCGTGAGGTGGGTATTCAGCGTTGCGCCATCTAGAGGTGCTGCTCTGTGCATGGACAAGCCACAGAGCCTTGAGCGTCAGGAAAGGCCTTAGACAACCAGGGAGGGTGAGGCCTGGGTTCAAGGATGGAAAGAGGCAGAGAGGGCCGCGGCAGGCTCCTCTTTCCCAGGGCAGCCGGCACTCAGCTACCTCCCAGCTCCTGCAGATGCTAGTGAATAGTTTTGGTGTATTACTTTCCATCAGCCCTGCTTATTCTTTCTTATTTTTATTGGATTTTTTTCCCATTGACATTTGGTCCCCTTATACCCCGCTGTCCAGCCCTGCTTGTTCTTATCAAATGATTTAAAAGCCATGGATGCCCTGGCTGGTGCGGGTCAGTGGACTGAGCTCCGGCCTGCAGACCCAAAGGTTGCTGGTTCAATTCCCAGTCAGGGCACATGCACTGAGGGTGTGTGACAGGCAATCAATGGATGTTTCCCTCACACACTGTTTCTCTCCCTCTCTTTCTCCTTCCTTTCTCCTCTCTCTAAAAATGAATAAATTTTTTAAAAAAACAACCCCACAAGCAACGGAAGATAGTCTCCCCAAGTTCAAGAGACGTATACTGCTGGCCACATTTATACCATAATGACCATTTGTTTCTTTAAAGCTCTGCTCAGCGCCCTTCCCAAGATGTGTCTTCTGTAAAAAATGCAATTCCCCCCAGCCCTTTGAGGAGTTACAAGGTAGTCTCAGAAAAATGTCACTCCCTGGAAATAAAGCCAGTTTAACCCAAATGCACCATGGCTGCGTGGGGCCAGCAGCGGACGCCACTCTCCCACTTGCAGAGAGCCAGCCCCTGTCCCTCCCTGGGCACATGGATGGGAACAGCCACGCCAGTGGGTGGCCCAAGCAAGTCACATTGCGCCCGGGAGCCTCAGTCCACGATATGACAGATTTAGAGAATGTGACCCATGATTCTGTCACATAAAGTCCATAAACATGCGCAGCTGCCCACGGAGTCCAGATGGACTTACGGTTGGGCCATTTGCAAATAGGCATTTTATTTGGGCAATCTTTTTTTAAAAATTTTACTCTTACCTGAGGGCTTTTTAAAATTGTTTTTAGAGAGGGAGGGAGGGAGGAGAGAGAGAGGGAGAGGAATATTGATGTGAGAGAGAAACATCGATTGGTTGCCTCCTGTGCACACCCTGACCGGGGACCGAACCCGCAACCCAGGCACGTGCCCTGACTGGGAATCGAACTGGTGACTTTTTGCTTTGGGGGTCGACGCCCAGCCCACTGAGCCACAATGGTCAGGGTCCCACTTCTGTCTCTTTCCTCAGCCACTTCTTGTTGGTGCATTTCCTTTATTTGCAGCCAAAAGACTGCCAGCAAGTACAAGCTTCTTCCCCTGCAGAGACGCCGTAGGGAAAAAGCACATGCAGGGATTTCAGTTTCTGTGCAAAAGAGACAAGCTGCCTAAGTCACGCTCAGCAGCTGTAGGTGAACGAGGCTGTCATCTGGGATGGAAAGGACCGTCCCCGCACCCAGCTAGGCTTTCATGGCTTGAAGAGGGTCCCTTTGCCAAAGGGCACCCTCAGGCTGGAGCTCTGGGACGTTCCCCATGACTCTGTGACATCAACATTCGCTAAAACCCAAAGATTGTCCCCATAAATGACATCGAAGAGATCTGAACAGAAACCACCCATGAAACCATTTCACACCCCGGTCAGCTCCCGTGTTTAATGGCTGTGCCTTGGAAAGAAATCCAGGCTCCTTCGCTGTGGGACGTTAATTCTTTTATTAATTTAGGGTTAACACTGTGTTTGCTTTGCGGATCTCTCCTTTGGAGTCGTGGGTTCAATCAATACCTGCGGGGTTGCCCCAGTCGGAGGGGAAGCGGGACAAAATGGAGGAGGACAAGCTCGGAAAAATTTAAGGCAAATGTTGCTCCCACATGACGGGGAGTCAATCAAGCGGATCTGTGCATTTCAATGAAAATATATGAAATATTTGTCAAAATAATTAACATCGGTAAAAATCAGAACATGTAGCTTATAAAAGGCCTACACAGGTTTGGCAGAAAGAGAGCCAACCGTGCCGTGAGGCTCCTAGTACAGAGACACAGGTATATCCGCCTCGAGAGCAGATCTCCCCAGCAGCGGAGGCCGAATGGATTTTAACAGCAATTCCACAAACGGGACGTGATAGGCTAACAACTCCCGGGCTGGGCTTACGTCTTAGTCCGAGGAATTGCTTGGTCCCTGGGGCACCTTTGCGCTGGCCCCTGGCACACCTCCTGGGGACCCTCCTCAGAAGGCTCTGAGCCAACGCGGAGTTGGGCATTCGGGCCACGAGACTCCTGGTGACACAGACTGAAGGTGGTGACAAGGGGCGCGTAGCTCCCGCAAAGGAGAGTGCTCCTGGGAAGGAAGACTCTTCACCGCCGGGGCTTGGCATCTGACTTTCTCAGCGATCGCAGCCATTTCAGGAGTCGCTGACTTATGTAGACATAGGTGCTCCATGCCCAGTGGTCAGCCTTATTTCAGCCTGACCAAACTGTCCCCCGAGCTGCTCTGTGGCCGTCGGGGGGGCAGGTGTGAGGCTCGGCCCTGCCTATTGCGCATGGGGACAGCCAGGTTCTGCACGCTGCAGCCGGTGGCTGAGGCTGACTGTGGAGCTGCTGGAAAAGCCCAGGGAAAGAGGATGTGGGGTGGCTTCCTGCTTTGGTCTTGAAGATTCGGTAAACGTATGGTCCCAGCAGCTGGAGCCGTAGACTTCTAGGAGTCGCGCGGTCCCGTTTGGAGGTGGCGGGAAGGACGCAGCCAGCAAGCGGAGTCGGGGAGGACAGCCCTGGGCTAGGAACGGCCCGGCAGGCCCCGCCCCCACCTGCTCCGGGGGCCCAGAGATGCGCCCAAAGGACGTTGCTCCTGGGGAGATAAAGCTGTCGGAGGCAGGGCGCTGCCCCGGAAACAGGCTCCGGCCCCCAGTCTGGAGACAGGTGGACGGACAGGTGGATGGACGGGAGCAGCCCTGCCCTCCGCGGGCGGCCCGGCGCCCCTACCCGGCCAGGAGGCACGTGCGGCAGCAGAACTGAATGAAGAGCTTCCGTTCGCAGAGCCGGTTGGACTTCACCATCTCGCAGAACATCTCGTCAGCTGGCGTCCCAGCGGGAGAGAGAAGGGGGGGGCATGTCAGGCTTGGGGGTCTGTTCCATGGCTCCGACCACGCCACCGTGCCGGCCCCGATGGTGTGAGGGGCTGAGAGGACAGGGGACACAGGGGGAGCGGGGGTGGCAGCCAGAGCAGCCCTCAGGGCGGTGTGGCACAGGCGGCACATGGCACGCCGGGGCTCCCGCTGAGTCTGGGAGAAAAACAAGGGGGGAGGGGCTGGGGGAGGGGCAGGGCCCGGGAGAACCTCTGGGCCGTGCCAGGGAAGGGGCCTCGGGGCACCTCTGTCCAGGCAGCTGTGCTAGGGGGGCTCTGAAGGGAGACTAAGGGAGGCAGGGGACGGGCCTACAAGGGACAGCGACACAGCAGAGCCATGCAGTCCTGCCCTCCCCTTGGCTTTTGAGAACGTGATGCCTTTTGTGGGAGCTGGAGAGCCTCCCGTGGCCGCCTGACTTTGGTGGGCAGGACACAGCCTGAGCACGGGACCCCCTACAGAGCGTCTGGGCCTTCGAAGGCCTCCTCTGACTGGTCCTCAGTCTCCTCTGAGCTGCTGCTTCCGCAGCCCGCCCTCATGGCCCAGTCCGCGGAGAGAGGCAGGCAGGGCTCCCCCGCGGCCCAGATGCGGGTCCTCCCTCGGGACCCGCGGGCCGGCACTGCGGGCTCTGAGGGGCTGAGACCCTCTGGTCCTCCTGACTTGCCCTCCAAGGTGAGGCCCCTCCTAACGGAGGTCACCGCACGCAGGCCACCTGGGGGCGATGGCGTGAGAGAGTTGGAACAGTACAAAAACAAAATCACCTTTGCGTCCCTCGACAACCCGACCCGCAGTGGCCGGGCTGTGGCCGGGGCGTGTCTCTGGTCCACGTGCGGGGCCTCAGGGGCAGGGAGGACAGCTAGAGCAGACCCAGGGCGGTCAGCGCCAGGCGGGCAGGCTCGCCCGCTCAGAGGGGCTGCCTTCCCCACAGCGATGAGCCCCTCCGAGGGCAGCCCCGCGCGCGCGCGCGCCACCCGGCTGCGCTCACCATTGCTGCAGGTGCGGTTGGTGATGCACGAGGTTCCCAGCTGCGTGAAGCCCGTCCTACACCGGCTGCAGTTCCTGCTGGATCCCTCACAACTCAGGCAGTTCTCGTCGCACCTGCAAGGGGACAAAGGTTCCCGTCGCCGTATGTGGAAGAGGCCCTACCGTCGTGACCTGTGCCCCCTCGCTGTCACGGTGTCCCCCGCGATGGCCTGAAACCCCGGCCAGGCGCCTGCACGTCCCTCCTCCTGCCTGACTGTGCTCTTGTCCTGGGAGGGCGAGGACGGCCACACCCGGAGCAGAGGGCGGGCCCGGCCTCCGAGACTCCAGCGGCTCACCCGGACTTTCTCACGCAATGCGGGGGCCCGGGACAGGCTCCCTCCGGACATGGGACGCACTGGATGCTGCTGCCCACCAGGCTAAGCCTCCTTTGTGGCGACACTGGCCTCTCCCCCGGGGCCGGGGAGGGGGGAGCCCTTCCGGTCCCAGCCCAGAGATGGGACCCAGGGTGCCTCAGGGGAGGGTTGGCACACTCGGGCCTCTGGCCACCTCACAGTCCTGTAACTGCAAGTCGTCTGTGTTTGCTTTCGTGGCGGTGGGGTTGAGTAGCTGCGACAGAGACCGCAGGGCCGGCAAGGCACGGACTACGGACCACCGGGCCCTTCGGCGGAAGAGCTTGCCGACGCGGCCCTGGGGCTTGGCTCAGCGCCTGTCCTCCCCTCCGCGACGGGCTCCGCACAGCGCTCCCGCCCGGTGCCCGGCGCCTTCTTCATCCCCAGCAGCGCACCTGCGTCCTGACTTGCAGCGCACGTGGGAGCCCCCGGGGATCTGTTTCCTGCCCGGTCCCAGCTACACAGTGCTGCTCTGCAAGCGGACCAAGGAGTGAAAGCCGCCAGCTAACTTGCGACGTTGGCAAGCCCTCCTCAGTAAAGGGGTTCCTGGGTGCCCGCCGCAGCGGAGAGATGCGGCGCACCCGCCCCCCCCCCCGCCCCCCGCTCCCAGGGGAAGGGCTGCCAAACGCGGCCCTCCTGCGACCCCTTCGCTGGCGCCGGCGGTCGCGGCCTGAGCCAGGAAGGCCGTCTGATGAGCACGTACCTCTGGCACACTTTGTGGGACAAACCCGGCATCTCCTCCGGATAGTAACCCTCGCCACAGGCTGGCACGCATTTCGAGTCTTGGAAGTGGAAGTTTGCGGCACAGTCAACACATTCTTCTCCGCCGGGTCCTGAGGGGCGCGGGGAACAAAGCGGCTATCGGGGCTGCCCGCCCATCCCGCGGCCCAGGCCTGCGGCGGAGGCTGTGAGGGCCGGGGTCGGTTCAGGTGTGCGCCAAGGCCACCACCACGGCTGGACTTCCAGGTGCCCCCCGGGTGTCTGTTCCGGGCCGTCCTCACCCACTCCTGGAAGTGGGCATCGCACGCCCACTTCACAGATGGGGGCACAGAGGCATAAGCCGAGCTCAGCACAGCCCCCCGCGGCCAGGGCCAAGTTCATGGGCCGCGGCTCTCAGTGCTCCCTCTCCCCTCAGGCCTAGGCCCGGCCTCTGCTGGAGCCGGCCACGTGTGGCTTTGCACACGTGACACGTGGCCGGACCACATGGAGATGTGCCGTGAGTTTAAAATACATACCAGCTGGACTTCAAAGTCTTAGCGTAAAAAAGAATGTGAAATACTCATTTTTTTAATGTCAGCGATTTGTCGAAACAATCGTATTTTAGATACGTTGGGTTATCTAAGGTATGGGGTAATTATTTTCACCTGCTTCTCTAGGAAATTCAAAATTGTGGTCATATTTGTGGCATGTGCCCTATTTCGATTGGCTACAACCTTGTACAGGGAGGCGGGGAAAGAATGAAAGAAGAGAATTGGCAGGTACGGTGTTGGCAGGTGTTCGGTTGACAGATAACCGGGACGTTTTCAGCAACAAAAATGAACAGCCAAGGGCTTATGGGGTGGCCAGTGGCGACCACAAGTGGCGGAAGCTCTGAACGCAAGGCCAAGGGCCACAGCGGAACACCTGCAGGCCAGCCGAGGGACACCCTGGTCACAGGGGTGTCCAACCTTTTGGCGTCTCTGGGCCGTACTGGGAGAAGTAGAGTTGTCTGGGGCCACACCTTCAACACACAAGCACTAATGAAAACTGATGAGCAAAGAAAGGGTTTTAAGCAGATTTACGGTGTGTGTTGGGCTGCATTCTCAGCCATCTTGGGCTGCTAGACGCCCCGGCTCTAGAAGGAAGAAACCGTGCCGTGTGTGTACCTGCTCGTTCGTTTGCCCATTCCTACCCCAAGTGTGTGGCGGGGTCCCCTCGGCACTAAACGTTCCCAAGGAGCGTCTGATGGCAGGTGCCCGCTGTCCGCCGGCCAGAGGTGGGTGTGTCGAGCCAGGCACCTCCCCGTCCCACGGGTCCCCTGCACCAGCCGCAGCAGCTGGGTGACCCTAGTGATCACATCTAGGACCTGCCGGGTGCCTGGACTGAGGATGGGCAAGAGGCTTGTCCCCAGGGAGTCACCTACCCGATGACTGTCCTGGGGCACTGTTAGCCCCGGGGGGCGGGGGGGGGGACTGAGGCCCGGCCCGGTGGGGGCAGCAGTGGCTACTGACTGGGAAGCAGTGCAGGGAAGGCCCGCGGGCCTGAGCCTCCAGGGGGTGCGGTGTGGCACCCGCGGACAGGTGCAGCTGACAGGGGACGTGGAGCAGGAAGCCTCCCAGAGACTCAGAGCAGGAAAACGCGGGTCCCGCTCCCCGACCCCACGGACAGGACAACAGTGTGGTGGTTGCCAGGTGGGGGGTGGGGGAGGGGGGATAGGGCGGATAAAGGGTAACGCAAAAGACACAATGAGAAATGAACGACTAAAACGAATAAATAAATTGCAGTATGGACACTGAAAGCGTTAGAAAACCAGACACCCGAATTTCAGGCATTCGAGCGCCTATGAAATTGAAATGCAGCCCAGAGGCGGCGCCCCTTCACCGACACAGGCTAAACTTAGAGTCGAGGAACAGAGAAGGAAAAAAAAGATGAAAAGGCAACAGGGCAGACCGCTGGGAAAATCTGCGGCGGCGACCTCCGCAGCTGAGAACGCTTCCGAGAGCCGCACCCAATGCCCAGCTCCAGGGGGCGCTGTCCCAGGAGGGGGCCCCTCCCCCCCACGCAGGCGCCTGCCGCAGGCCGCCAGGGCTCAGGCACGCCCCGCGCCCGGAAAGCACAGCTGGCGCCCACGTGGGGCCACGCGGCCACACCGGGAGGGCGTGCCCCTCACACCCCCTTCCCCAGCACCCGGGTTATGGCAGCTGTGATTTAGCAGAGACCGAATTCCTCGTGGGTTTTTCAGAAGGACCGAAACGCTGGGTCAGGAAGGAGAGTCAAGAGAAGACCTCACTGGAAAAGCATCCGAGCCCACAGACTCCTAATGCTGCTCTCACACCCGCGCGCAAATGAGTCGCAGCACGCGGCCCCATAAAACGAGCACATTCTGCATAAACGCTGTCTGGAAGACATCTGCGCCGTCGTCCTGGCGGGGAATGATAATCCACGTAAAATTGCTTCTAGAAGCCTTTTCTTTTTTGCAGAAAGTGTTCAGAATAAGGGAAGATAGGTACACAAAGAAGGAGAGCAATGTTTTTGAAAGGCTCCTTCACTGCGTTGCATCTCGGAGCGAAGGGGCCGAGGTGCCCTCCCCTAACCCCCCCCCACCCCCGCCCCCCAGCCCTGCGCGACCGCCTGTGCCGCCTGGAAACCCAGGCTGCTTGCTCAGAGTGCGCCCTGGTGGCTTTTTTTTTTAATTAGTAAAATTGTGAAAACATAACGTAAAATTTACTGTGTGAAGCATTTTTTAAAAATCTTCACCTGAAGATACTGATTTGAGAGAGAGACGGAGTGGGGGGGGGGCGCAAGGAGAGAGAGACCAGACTGTTGCCTCTCGTAGGCACCCCAACTGGGGATCGAATTCGCAGCCCATGTATAAGCACCAATCAGGAACTGAACACGCCACCTTTGGGTGGATGGGACGCCTCTCCAACCTACTGAACCACCCGGCCAGGGCTACCATGTGAACCATTTTTAAATGTGCAGCTCAGTGGCATGAGGTACGTTCACTTGCTTGTGCAACCTACACCACCATCCACCTGCCCCCAGAATTTTTTCACCCCCCCAAACTCCGACTTCATGCCCATAAACAGTAAACCATCCTCCCTCCCCACCCCGGTGCCTGGGTGATTTCACGCTACAAAACGCACGGCAGCCCGAGACGTCCTCAGGCTTTCTCGGTTTCAAGGGAGGGGAGCCAGCCACCTGGGCAAGCCAGGCTGCAGGACTGTGCGGCACAATGAAAACGAAGCCCGTGCAGGCGATGCACTCACCCACGCAGGTCTTGCAGGTGGGGTGGCAGTCCCCACACTTGATCAGCTCGGAATCCAAGTAGGTGCCCGGTTCGCAGGCTGGAATGCAGCTGCCCCGCGCAAGCCTGTCGGAAGGGGAACCAAAAGAGAGGCAGGTTGTTAGTACATCCCTTCCACGGTCTAATGAAACTGCGATTTGCCCTCACATGCTTTTCAGGAGAGGAAACGGAAGTTGCCAGAGCACAGCTCGTTGTGCCGATCAGGGTTCTGAGCGGAACGAAAGCCGTTTGAAAGGCCGTTCTGAAGCGAGCGGCTGGCGGGGCCGTCCGGCGCCTTGAGGCAGGCCCTCCGCCTGCAGGTGGCCGGCGGGACCAGGCTTCACCCGCAAAGCCCCGTAGCCTGGGCTCTGGCGCACGTGGCCAAGTCCTCACGTTCTCTCCTGGTCTGCAATGGCTTCTCTTCACGGACGTTCATCAAACTTGCACCTGAACCCCAAGAGGAGACCTTGAGCATGTGTGGGTCACCCCTGGGGACAGGTAGGCCTGGCCTCACTGCCTCCAAGCCCCTGCCAAGGGTTAGCAAGACCGGCTCTGAAACCTGGACCGGCTTCCAACTCTGCCCTTCACAATGGACTTGAGATCAAATGCACTCCTGGGACCTGGCAGGCTCTGCCTAACGGGGCTCCCGCCTTCCTCTCTCAGCTCCCGGGTGCATGGATTTGGGAGGAGACTGGCCCTGGTTCCCCCTGACTCATGGTCCTGCCTGCTACTTCCTAGCTGTGCAACCTGACCCCAGGCAAGCCAGCGAACCTCTCCTCTCCTGTTCATGGGAACAATCGTGGCTCCTGCAAAGCAGGGAGGCTTTGAGGTCTAAATCAGCAAATACTCGTAAAATCTTTTCTTTGTTAGGATTTAAAAAAAAATTTATTCATTCCCGGAGAGAGGGGAAGGGAGAGAGGGAAACATGCGTGTGGTTGCCTCTCGAGCACCCCCTATGGGGGACCTGGCCCGCAACCCAGGCATGTGCCCTGACTGAGAATCAAACCAGCGACCCTTTGGTTCACAGGCTGGCACTCAATCCAGAGCCACACCAGCCAGGGCAAAATCTTGGAAAGGTGCCTGGCAGGCAGCAGTGTGAGTAAACGTCAGCCAGGATGACTTCTTCAGCTCCCAAGGTTACGCCAGGTTTGATGCTCACATTGTAAATGGGACTGCCACTAGACACACAGGGCGAGAGCTTGGGCGCGGGGCCGGGCCTACAGGAACCTGCGTTCAGGGGGACACGGCGGTGGGTCCCCGTGGACAGCGGATGCCCAGGGCTCTTCCTCCTCGTGGAGCCAGGCGCGGCTGACCGGCAGTTAAATCAGGTCTTTAAACGCAAATCCTCCCTGCATTTGTCCCCCTAAAGAGATGGGTGGCAGGAGCCTGCGGCTCGCTGCTCGCACGACTGGAACGTGATAGTGATGATTTGAAGCCACAGTTTAAGAGGATATTGGGCCATAAAAGGGAGCTTTCTGTGGATTACGACCGACGATAAAAACCCCCGCTTCCGTTGCTGTGGCTGCTGTATTTTCTCCCTGCGACACTATTCCTAGGTGGGTGGCTGGCTTCCTCTGGCCCGCGGGGCACACGGGACACAGAAAGGAGGTCCCTGGGACCCTCCAGCACTTCCCCACTGGCAGATGGGGTTCCAGTGAGTTGGAACCACGAAGCCGCCTTTGACACCTTCCGTTTCCAGCCTGGGGCTGGGGAGCCCTGGTCAGAGGGGACATTGTAGCCCCATCTCCTAGGCCCCCAGCTGCGGCCAGCTCTCTGTCCCCTTTATCTTTTGGGGAACTGCTTCCTCCACTACATCCTGTCCCCACTGGCCCCGCCTCATCCAGCTAACACCCTCGTCCTTCCACCAGACGTCCCAGGCTGGGGTGTTAGACACGCTTCTCCCCTCATCTTCATTCAGCCTGATTGGGGGAGAGGGGCAGGCAAAGGGGGACCCCCCCGTGCCTCCTAGGGAAACTGTTTCTCTCGCGTTAGAAAAATGAGAGACGTTTTAATATCTGCATCCAGAGTCGCTGTGGAGATTAAACAAGGCAGCGTGGGCGGACGGCCCTGGAAGACGGTGTTTGTCAAGCGTTCTTCTTTCGCAGGCTGCCCCCCAAAAATCGGCCCTGCGGAGCATGTCCGTCCTGGCGGCATTTGGAAGAAAGGGAGGCCAAGGAGGGCTGAGGTGGCGGTGCCAACCCCCAGTACCGGGGCAAGCAGCATCCTCACCCGGCGGCCTGTTGGAAAGGCGGAGTCCCAGCCCCCACTCAGAGGTCTGGTGTCAGAAACTGCATCTTAACAGGAGCTGCGGGGAAGCCTGGACACACTGCAGGGCAAGAAGCATTGACGGCAGACCCCATCCCCAACTTCCCTTTGGTGGGACCCCAGCCAATTTTTTTTTTTTTTTTTAGAGGGAGATAGTAGATGGGAGAGAGAAAGAAAAGGAGAGAAACATCAATTGGCTGCCTCTCGTATGTGCCCTGACCAGCCAAACCCACAATTCAGGCCTGTGCCCTGACCAGGAATCGAACCCACGACCTTTTGGTTTGCGGAGCAACACCCAGCCAACAGACACACGTGAATGGCCCAGCCAGTTCTTCTGAGCTTCCTGTCTGTGCCCTCGCTCCCGTTCTTCCATGCAACCTGCCTTTGAATGGCACGTGTGAAACCTGTCCATCCACAGGTGTTCTTCGTCCTGCGTCCCAAACAGGCTGCCACCTCAGACTTAAAATATGACAAATCATTTATGGGGAAGCTACCACGGCTCAGGCACTGTTCTGGGCCCGATCTCATCTCATTTCATCTTCACATGGAACATTGACACCATGTCCCTGCTTTACAAATGAGGAAACGAAGATTTATGACTTCCAGTAATTTTCCTCCAGGAGCAGGGACCAGGAAGTCGACCCTTCTCTTGTTCTAAAACGCAGACCCACACCGGCCAGCTTGTTAAGTGGGTTGGAGCGTCGTCCCGTACATCAAACGGCTGTGGGTTGGGTCCCGTTCAGGGCACCCGCCTGGGTTGCAGGTTCGATCCCCAGTCGGGGCGTGTACGGGAGGCAACCGATCGACGTTTCTCACATCGACGTTTCTCTCTTTCAAAAAAATCAATAAATATGTCCTAGGGTGAGGATTAAAAAAAAAATGCAGACTCTGTTTTTGGACTGCAAGAGAGTTCACAGCGTCACTTTGAACAGAACATCACCTAAGCTTCCAGACAGTAACTTGGGGGAACACGTAATGACTATTCGGTTGCACTAAATGCAGGGTAGTCGCATTAACTGGGCTAAACAAACACGTCAGCATATTCCACTGGAAATCATTAACCCAGTAACATGTTTTAAAGGAGACGCGTGTTGAGCTTGACAGAAGAGAGAAAACCGGAGTCCAACTGGAACAGACTCTTAGTCTTAGGACCACAGAAGCCTTTACCCTGAAAGGCTTCTGGAAATTTAGCTTTCAGTCAAAATTTGCACAAAGGGGGCACATTAACAACAGACACCAAAGCCAGCAGAAATACCGGTCTTGAGGTTCGAAGAAAGCGTTTTACCTGAATCCTTCTTTACAGACGGTACATTTCTCTGGTTCATCAGCGCACTTTTTACAGTTCGCGGGGCACTTCAGGCAAGCTTTCTGACCTGGGGAAAAGGAGGCGAGGGAAACAGAGTCGGGCACGGATGCGACTCAGGTCTGGACCGACGAGGCTCCGGCGACATTGTCCCAAAGCGGGGCTGGCAGAGCCGCTTGTCATTGGGCGGCGCGAATGGAAGATGCAGAAATAAAACAGCCTGAGGCCTCAGAGGGACCGCGAGCCCCGGCGTCAAATGACAGGTCTCTCGCCTCTTTTTTAATGAAAGTCCTCGTACAACCTTGGGGGGCCTCCCTGTCCAGACAGACAGGCTCGGGTTCCGCTTCTTTCAACAGGACGGAAGCCTGTTCCTGGCTGACGGAGCAGGCGACTTGGGCGCTTGAACGCATGTGACAGGGAGGGGACTCAGTGCCTCTGACCTCCCTGCAGTGTCCTCCAGGGGTCTCTACTGAAGGCCTGGTGGTCATGCGCAGCACCGCGAATCTACGACACCCAGCCTGCCTCCTGGGGAAATTCTGGGTGGCCTGCTCCCTACTTGCAGGGGCCTAGGTCATGATCGAGGTTGTTCCCTCTGGCATCTCGTCAACGCCACCTGTGTTCTGGGCCTGGCTGCTAAGGGCTGCTCACCACACCGCCCGCCTCTTCTCAGGACCCAGAGGCGGCATGACGCATGCGTCACAGGTGCTCGTGAGGACACGTGGGGTCACCCAGGGTGGCTGCTGCCTGCCTTGGGACCCGGGTGGGGCTGAAGGAGCCTCCACCCTGACAACAAGGCTGGGGCAGCTCAGGGCAGGTGTCACGAAGGCCTAGATGTGCACCTCGAATGACAACTGGTTTCCTTTCTGGAGCCTGGCTTATTCGCTGGCTTTGTCTGCCTTTCAGGGTTGCCTTGTCCCCTGACTCTTGTCCCCTGTCACCGCAGTGCCGGGACAGCAGAGGGCCCGCAGGAGGCCTGCAACCGGCACGCTCAGCAGCAACAAGGCAGCAGCTCCTTCCGACTTGTTTGAGAACGACCCTCCATCAGTTTAACCCAAACCCTCTCTTGGCCTCTCCCCGGGGGGGAGCTGAGTCGGCGCCACGTGGCACGGTCCTGGGCCCACCGTCCCGCCGTCCCGGGACGGGCGGAATGCGAGGACAGCTGGCTGCGGTGCCAGCATCAGAGGAGGGCCTGGGGCGCCTCTCGGCTGCTTCCCCGTCCATGAGACCAGGGGAGCATCAGCCTCTGCACGGAGTGTGTGTGGTCGCTGTGTGGCAAGTGTACACCCCACAGACTAACCTGACCCTTCCGGCCAGCAGGCTGCTCTTCACTTACGGGGGGCTGCAAACCTTCTGCCCACCCTTACACGCAGCTTCAGCTCAGGAACTCTTCCTGGGAGGGCCTTTCCCCCAGTTCCGCCCCCCAAGCTGCTGTTGGCTCCCCAGCAGCCCCTCTGCCCTGCCCATCCCCCACGCTCCCCTGGCCCGTGCACACGGCATGGCCTTTCCTGGAGGAGAAAGTGCAGGACCCACAGCAGGGCATCCTGGGAGGCCTTGCGCTTTCGACGTCCGAAATCCCACTGACCCGAGAGCCGCAGGCCCGAGCCGCCTCTGCCCATCCTCAGCCGGGGACGCTGACTGGTGGGTGGATGTGAGATGTCTCACATTACGCGGCTCCTTTCAGTGTCCCTTGGAACGTTCTGGTTGGTGTGTGACGGGTTGTTAACGAACAGGCCTGAAGCCTCTGATTTCGCTGCCTGTCCTTCCCTCCCATGTTCAGGGGTCCTTTCTCAGGACAGAGTGCACAGGAAGCAGAGGGCGGGACACTTCGACAAGAAGAGGGGACCCCAGCCCAGGGAGGGGCCCGGTGACATGCACTTACTGTCGTTGGCGTAAAACCCAGCCGGGCAGTGGGCCATGCACGCCTTCAACTCCTGGTGGTGGTAGAACCCGCGGCGGCAGGACAAGCACTGGAGCGGGCTCTTGCCCCTGCAGGTCTCACACCCCCGGTGGCACCTGCGACAGCGTCTCGCTGCTGTGTCCCCAAAGTAGCCCAAGGGGCACTCGCTCACACACTTCCTGGGGGAGGGGGAACAAAGAGGGCCTTTCTGAGTCAGCCAAGCCCGGGCGGCTCAGCACCCGCAGCTCAAGCGCCTGCCTCGGTCAGGCCAAGGACGCGGAGGCCCCTCCAGCCTCCCAGGAACAAAGGCCCCAGGGGTGAAGGTTAAACCGTTGGCACCCTTTGTCTTACTGAACAGTTGGGCGGTTCCTAAATGCACCCAGAGGGCAGAGGATAAGAACCTGGGAAACCTGTGCTCTCCAAGTTGCCCCAGGGAGGCAGTGGATTTTAGAACCGTCAGCTCCTGGAACCCCACCCTACACCCCCACTCCCAGGGCCCCGGGCAGTGAAGCCTGCAGCTTGGCCACCTTTGCACAGGGTGAGGGGAGGGCAGCTGTACCCGGGCCCCCCAGGGCACTGTGACCTCAGGCCTGCCCTCAATGCCCGGCCACACCCCTGCGGGGGGCCGTCAGGGACAGGAGCTCCCCGTACCGCCCGCAGCCCTGGCTTTTCCAACAGTCCTGGCCACGAAAATGACATCCGTCTCCAGTCCCCAAGCAGTCGGCCTGGGCGTGCTCAACGGGGCCCATTTGGGTTCAACGAACTGGACAGAAAAAGCTTATACGCGCAGGCGCCATGATGCCACGGCTGGCTTCTCGGTCGGGGACAGACAATACTTGTGTGACAGGGACCAAAATACTACTGGAACTGATGGCATTTCAAAGCGGCGAACCTCAGCGGGATGTGCTTTTGGGGGCATCCCGTGAGCTCCTCCTCAGGGGTGCCCGGGGTGTGCGGGGCGCTCCGCGCCTGCGGACAGACGGCCGCGCCCGCCTGTTACCTGCTGGTCTTGGCGCTCCCCAGGCTGAAGTGGACACAGTTCAGGCACTGGTCTGCATTGGGGCCGTCACAGCCCTTGTCCCCACACTCCGGATGGCACACACCTTAAAGAAACAAGCATTCTTCTCTTTCAGCTGCACAGACACTTCCTCCGTGAAATCCCGTCCCCAGGGCCCTGTGTTGGGGCGGGGGGTCAGGAGATGCTTCCCTAGGCAGCGGCGGGGGGTGCAGCGGGGAGCCCTGTGGGTCTGGATGGCCGGACCACAAGCCTGGGCATCCGCCCCCGTGGGCATTGGCCCCGGGGGAGCAGTGACCCTGGTCAGGGTGAGCGTCACAGGGTTTGATGCTCCAGACGGGGCAGCCCGAGGCCAGGGAGCCCACGGTGGGCGGGGACCCAGACCCGTGCCGAGAGGGACCCTGGGAGAGACAGAAGGGAAGCAGGGATGGGGGCAGGGGAGGCAACCTTTTCAGCGTGGCCCCTGGGTCGTCGCAATGCTGGGACCAGCCAGCAGTTTTGCGTTGCATCCTAAAGGACGAGCAATGTCACCTGGGGCGGGGAGGGTGCAGGGGCAGCTGTTAACAAGCGGCGGCGATCCCCCGGGGAAGCAAGCAGGAAAGACGGGACGGCAACAGGACGGGTTTCCACGCGCTCACGCCCCCGGGGTCCGGCTGACCCTGGTGGGGCTGGGGTGTGTGGGGACGACCCCTTCCCGCAACCCCCCCATTCTGCGCCTTCCTCCCTCAGGCCCTCAGCAGTCTCCCATATCCCCCCAGTTTACTGCAGGGGGCGTGTGTCTTGTTGCAGAAGCAATGGGGAGAAACGCAGGGAGCTGGGCAAACAGGAGCAAGCCTCGCCCTCCCGGGGGCTTCGTTCTGGGTGCACCACAGCCTACCCTGTGTCTACACGTGTCCTCCTCCCCCGCCTGACGTACGTGACCACGGCGTGCCCAAGCCCACCCTGTGATGCGACCGCTCCCCTTATCCCCAGCCCTGGCCCTCCGCCCCTTGGAAATAGCTCAGCAAAGCCTGCCCATGCAGAGAGGGCCTCACGGGCCATTATGAAGGCTTTTGAGTCTTCAGAAAAGGAAAAAAAACAAAAACCCCTCGTCTATAAGGTTTTAGTTATTGGAGGGGGTGGGAGTGAGTTCAGAAGCAAAGAGGAGGTGATTTGCTGGCCACCAGCATTTCATGGGGACGGGAGGGAAAGACAAAAGTCCCCATTCTCCGCCACCCACAATGGGCCTTTGCTGAGGTGCACAAAGCCCTCTTCATGCCTCTTGAAAGGGCTTCCAGACCTTCCCAGTGTTAGGCCGGTTTATTTTGCTTCCCTCCCCGAAGGTTTGATGCTGTTGATATTTCCAAAGTTTTCATTGTGGATCCCTCTGTGAACCCCTTTCGAAGCAGCGTTTGTCCTTGGGGGTGCGCCTCCTGGTCTGGGGTGAGCTGGAGCGGCCCCACGGGCCCACCCGTCCAAAGCTCAACGCACATCATGCAGCCCCCCCCCCCCCCCCCCGGCTCCCTCCCCAGCTCCCGACTGTTTGCTGTTGGAAGTCAAGTCTCATTTGACTTGATGTCGCCCACATCAGCCCACTCCATTCACAGCGCTATCCTCAGGAATCCTGCTTCCTTGCCCCATTTGTGCTGAAAACACATGCACTTGGCCACTGGGCTCTGCTCCTCGCAGCCCGCCAACCAGCATGACCCCGCGGACCTGCCAACTGCTTCCGCGGCGACTTCTCCCTGATCGGCGGGAGTCGCCAGGTCGGTCTTGCTCCATAAAGTTAACATTGTCCTCCCTCTTAAGGGGATGTGGGGGGACAGAGAGGAGAGAGACCATTTCCCCCCTCTTTCTTGGCATAGGAGAAGGCAGGCAGGATTCGGTCTAGAATGTTCTCTGCAATGTTCCCAGCACCTACATAGCCGTTTGTCATGGGAAGGTGTCCAATAAAAATCTGCAGAGAGGCTGAAGGAGGGTGAGAGAAAGGATGAAAGGAGAGTGTGTGGAAACTGGGAAAGTGCAGGTGTCCTGCCCACCTCCACACAGAATGTTCTAGAATGTCCCAGGACAGGATGGCCCTGGGGCAGGGCGTGGAGCGGTGCTTGCAGCTGCTGGTTCATGTGCGTGGACTTTATCCCGCTGCCCACCCTCCGCTGGGGCCTCTCTACAGTGCAGCGGTTAGTCAGTAACCCCGAAGGGGGCGCCGTGCAAGGCCGGGGTGCGCGCAGCCGCAACAGCAGCAGAACCCTGACAGGGCGTCTATAGGTAAGCGGCCGCGTCCAGCCCCCCAACACGGGAAAGGTCAGGAAGACTCTGCAAGGATGCTTAGCTAAACATCTGTAAGCACCCTCCCCCGAATGGCTCTCCACTTGAAATGTCTCCAAGAACTGCACCTTCAGCACCGTGGCCATGGGCTTCCGCGGCCCCCCGCTCGGCCCGCAGTGGCTGCTGCCCGTCCTCCTCGCCGGAACCCCCAAGGCTTCTCCACCCCTTAGCAGCACACCCCTAGGCTGGATTTTCACATCCTGATTTAGTTCAGGAACCCCGGACTCCACCACGACCTTGGCCTTCTGCCTCTGTCGGTCCAGAGACTAATTCCGGCCGTCTCCTCAGACCCGTGGCTCAGGGGGCCGTGTTAGCTGAGAGGCCAACCACTGCCGCCCTGCCTCCTGGCTGCGCCCTCCCCGGGGCAGCTCTCCTGTCGGCTCCAGCGAGGCACCTGACACCCCATAGGAGCCCCGATCATCTTGGCAGACTCTTACCCACTACTGTCCTGGGATCCTTACCTTGGAGGCAGGCGGGGCGTCCCCTCCTTCTCAGGCGCCCCCTGCTGCCGGACCCTGGTATTGCACCCGTCACCGCCACGCCCCCTCTGCCCAGGACCAACTCTCTGCATTTCCCAGAAGCCTCTCTGCTCCCCCACTCAGTCACCCCTGCAAGCTTCCGCCTCAATCAATCCCCCTCGCCTCCGTGCTGCGCTCTACAAAGCGGTGTTAAGAGTCATCGCCTCACTTCGACCTCCCCTTCTGCCTGGGTTTGTCTGAGATGGAAACGCTTCTCCAAGGGGGACCCTCCGAGGTGCCCCATCCCATACGCCTCTTAACTGAGCCTTGGATCTAACTGGGCTGCTTCCTCCTCCCCCCCCTCCTGCCCCCCCTTCTCTCTCCCTCTTCTCCCCTTTCCTTCTCCTACTCCTTCCTCCTGGAAGCCCTCTCTCCCTTCGCCTTCCACGCGGCACCCTCTCTGGCTCTTCTAGGTGCTACCGGCCCACCTTCCCCACTTGCCCTGAGAATGTAGGGGACTCCCTGAGTAGCAGAAACACACCTTAATCCCACAGAGCATGCCCACCCCCGCCGTCCCATCCATTTAGACGGCGCTTGGGAAGACTGAGTTATCTGGGCAGCGGGCCAGTCTTATAGTGAGATTCCAGGACAGTGTAAGGTTAGAGTCAGTAGCAGATTTAAGAGGAAAAAAACCCCCAGTCATTTATTAATAATTACTGAATCTTGCCATGGTGTATAAATCACCAGGGGAAACAGAGCAGATTAGTCCATACATAATTCAATGGTCCATTTTAAAGGAAAGGTAGGAGAAATGTAAAATGGAATCGACCATAATTTATGTTTGAGATGTATTGGTGGAATGCTCCATTGTGTTACCTTCTCTCTCCCCCAGAAGCTATTAGATAACTCAAAGCATCAATAGTCTTGGATAGCACCCATCATTTATCACGGAGCTGGAATATTTAGCTAAGGAACATATGCCCAACCAGAACCACTCAGTTTCTCACAAATCTGTGGGAGAGTTCGGGGTAGGGGGGGAAGGGACAGCTTTCTACAGAACGTGCGGATCGCGACGGGCAACGTCTGAGGCCCTTCCCCGCGGCCGTCTGGGTGGAGGCTGCTGGCGGCCCAGCGCCAGGGCCGTGCACGGAACGGCTTGGGGCGAAGTACCCGCAACGAAGCGCCTTTACAGGAGCCGTTTCGCGTAGCATTCATGTATCTACTGACACACGGTCCTAAGACCCAATGCTGGGTCTCCATCGCAGCCCTCGAGGCCAGTCAAGGTCTGCAGGCCAGCTTCTTTCTCAACTGTGTTCCTTCAACCCAACCATCCCGGGACCCCCGCCAGGACCCTGGTCCTTCCCCCATCCTGGTCCCCAAGGACTGAAAGTGGGTGGATTTGAGAGAGTGTCAGGATGCTGAGACGTGCGGTGGGAACCTCCTGAAGAAGATGGGGTACCCCCTGAGGAGTCTCACCGAGCACAGGGCAAGTCCCGGTTCTGGTTGGGCATAGAGAACCTCGATTTCGCGGCCTGGTGGGAGCAGGGGAGATACTTACTAGTCTGAAGCATACTTACTGTTCTGTAAAATATTAGGAGAGCCGTGGGAGGAGGGAGCTGTGTGAGTGCAAATTGGCATCATTATTACGACTTCCAGGACAGGGAGAAGACATCCAATCCTAACCCGCACCGTCAGCCAGAAGCAGCCCCGCATGTGCAGGGCCACGGCGGAAAACCAGGACTCGCAGAGGCCAGCAAGCCGTGTCCCCTGGATTCAAGCGCATTACCTGTGTAGTCCTCTTCTTCCTCGGGAGCTTCAGCCTGGGACGGTGACAGAGCGGCCTTGGGTGGCCCCAGCTCCGGGGTGGACAGCTCCAGCATCCGGGAGCGCGACTGATGGGAAGTGAACGTGTTGTACGGGTGCTCCGCCGTGCCGTACAGGATGAGGCTCCATTCTTTCAGCTTCCCTGAAAGGCAGCCCGCCCATAAAAGTGAGAAGACCTCCCCGAGGAGGCTTTTGATGATCTCTGGGCCCTCGACCGGGCCAAAGGCCTCTGTCCCTCATAGAGGTGCCAGGGTAGAGGCACAGTCCCTGGGCAGGAATCATCCTCCATCCTGCCTCCCTCGGGGTCAAAAGAAGCTGCGTTTCAAAACCACCAAGGAATCTGGGCATCTTAACTACTGAGTGACGGACCGTAATTAAGGCAGTAGCACACTGACTACGCAACAGGAACCAAGGGCTTTGCGGGCTATAATTGGAGTCCAGATGTATTTTAGACTTCTGCGATGTCGCCGAAAACCCCCACCAAAGGCCTAGTCACCAAAATTAGACCCTTATTTTCAGATGTAAGTTTGGAGGGGCAAACCAGAGGGGCAGCTCTGAGCTCAGGATCAGCACGCGCCCCGCCGGGAGGAAGAGAGAGCAGGAAGAACGCCAGGAAACCAAAACTGTAGCTCCTAAGAGTTCTCATTGTAAGGAAATTTTTGTTGGTGGTGGTATGTGTCCATCTGAGATGACAGATGTCATTAAAGTTATTGTGGTACTCATGTCACAAGACACGTAAGACAAGTCGTTATGCTGTACCCGTTAAAACTATTTAGTGCCGTATGGCAATTATATCTCAACACAACTGGGGAAAATGAATTCCAAGAAACCGGAAGGAGGGGACTGAAGGGAAGGCAGGGATTCAGGAGTAGAAGGGAGATTTCATTTTTATTTACAAAACCCACAGCGTGTATTACCTTTCACATACATAATTTTTTTTTAGAAAATATAAGTTTAATTTATAAAAGCTATGAACAAAGTGCTTGTATGGCCAAAGAAAAATATATTAGAAACCTATGGTAGTTGGACCCTGGTCCGGTGGCCCGGTTGGCTGGAGCATCGTCCCGTACATCGAAATGGTTGCAGGTTCGATCCCCAGTTAGGGCACATTCATAGGTTTCAGGTTCGATCCCTGGTCAGGGTGCATATGGGAGACAACAGATTGATGTCTCTCTCATTGATATTTCTCTCTCTCGCAAATCAATAAAAACATATCCTCAGGTGAGGATTAAAAAAAAAATCTGTGGTACTCAGGGCTTTCGATTGCTATTTCTGAATAAGCAATAAATATAAATGGCTCAAAGTCCAAAACTAAACGGAATAGAGCACAAGTCTGCCTTCAGCCCCACCCCCTGGCCACACCTCGCTCCCCACAGGCAACCCAGTCTCCCGTTTCTCACACATCCTTCCCGAGGTGTTTTCTTCTTATCCAAACAAGCAGGAATGCACGCCCCGCTTGTCTCCTTTATCAACACGCCTGGCATCTTACTTCTCCCACTGACGATGCATCTTTGCGATCTTTCCATTGCTGCATCAGAGAGGCGTCCTCTACCTGCTAGTCCCCTATTCACGGGCACTGAGGTTGTTTCCAAACGTTTGCAATGAGAAATAATGCTGTGAATGTGGTCACGTGGGGACAGACCTGGCGAGCAGAGCAAGGACCCTGGAGGCACGTGGTCTGGGCTTGACTCCGGCCTCGGCCCCCACTAACTGTGTGGCCTTGGGCGACGACTTAACCTCTCTGTTCGCCAGTGTCCTCGTCTGTACAGTGGGGGTATTAATAATACCACTGACCTTATAGAGTTGTTTGGGGGATTAAGTGATTTAATGAGAGTAAAACCCTGGGCACAGTGACTAGGGCAAAGGGGCTGTTACACAGTGTTGAATAAAATCTAATAAGCATCTCACCGCATGACATCCCCAACCCGCAGTCCCAGCTGACAGAGGCCGGAAGGATCAGATGCCAGGGAGGTGGCGGCACAGCCCCAGAGCTCGCGCCTGCTTTGGGGAGACGATAACGCGTCGGGGTGGAAACATCGAGAAGGAAGCAGACAGAACGCATCAAGGGCTGCCCCCGACCCAGGTCCGAGTCTCCACTCAGCAGAGCTGCTCTCAGAGGCAGGAGGGCTTTATTTATTTATTTATATTTTATCCTCACCGGAGGACACGTTTACTGAGTTTAGAGAGGGAGAACATTGATCGGGTGTCTCCCAAACGTGCTCAGACCACACCCTCAACCTTCTGCACAGCACGACGCGCCAATCCACGGAGCGCCACCCGGCGAGGGCAAAGCAGGAGGACTTCAGAATGTCCGTCTGCTCTGGGCCAAGCCTTTGACAAACATGTATTATTTAGTAGTCAAGCCACACAGCATGCCTGTTCACGTTCCCTTACAAAAACCCAAACTAATACAATTAATTCCCTCACTTCCAGGAGGAGGGGAGCCTTACAAAGGGTCCAAATCCAAACTCTTCGGCTTTCTCGCCTCAGAGTCCTGCGCCTGCGCAGGAAACCCTTGGGGATGCCCCAGCAGGACTCCGCCTCCAGGTGGTGCCAGCAAGCCCCGCCCCCTGCCCCGGACCCGCCCCCCGCGACTGTGACGGACCGGAGAGAATCCTCAGCTAAGGCCCTCGGGGCTGCCAAGAACGGCTTTATCATCACGCCCTATCCTCAGCGCAGCACTTCCCTCGGTGAACGGGAATCGTAATGACTAAGCAGGATCGCTCCTATCACGCAAAGACAGAACCAGAATTAAGGATACACTTGCCCATAGGAAAGTCCCGGCAGTAATGAAGCTCTTCATTCCCTGGCATTTTGAATTAAGCATTGAAAATCCTGGAGAAGGTCCTCACAGGCGCGGCTCAGTGTGCTGGGCATGGTTTCAAAAACTGTGCAAGATCACTGGTTCGATTCCTCATCGGGGCACATGCCTGGGTTGCAGGCCCAGGTCCCCAGCAGGAGAGGCAACCAATCGATGTTTCTCTCCGTCTTTCTCCCTTCCCTTCTCCTCTCTCTAAAGATAAATAAATTATATCTTAAAAAAAAAAAAAAAAAGAGGGGGGTTTGCAATTGGAGACAGCAGATAGAATTGGGGGAAAGGTCCCTTTAGACTAAAAATTCTGCTCTAATACTTTTGAAAGCCTTTGGCAATTAGAGAAGTTATTAACAATAAAGTACTTATTAATTCTCCCCTACCTCCATACTTAAAACACCAGGGGGAAATTCTTTGGACAAAACACAATAAAGAGAGAGAAAGGCCTAGAAAAATCGAGAAATCTGTTTTAGTCTAACACTCCGGTGGAAGTTTTTTCCTTCTGAAGTTCAGCGAACCTAAGTTACAAAGTTTAATGCAGAAGTTTGGGTGGAAGGAATAAAAAAGGCTCCGTTTATTTATAAAAATATAAAAATATACAAGAACACTTTAAAAGAGTGAGTTTTATAGTATGTGAACTGTATTTCAATAAAGCTGTTATATGAAATACTGTATACACACACACGCAGAAATGCCAACCTTTACTCAATAAATTTAACACATAGTTAAAAATGCATGTTAAAAACGGCAAGCAAGAGGGAGGAAGATAAAGGGACTTTAGGAATGGCCTGGCAAGGATAGGAAGAGTACACACACGTGTGTGTGTGTGTGTACCTATATGCACACACACACCACCAGAGCCAGATGTAAAACAGGGGACCTGGCTGAGTCGGGTAGCTCAGCTGGTTGAAGCGTCATCCAAATACGCTAAGGTTGCAGGTTCGATCCCCAGTCGGGGAACATACAAGAATCAACCAATGAAGGCATCAATAAGTGCAATGATGAACAGATCTCTCTCTCAAATAAATAAATTTAAAAAAAAAATGAAACAGGGGAGATGGGAGAATCTTCCCTATGATCTTGTAGCCAGAAAACCCTTTAAAGAAGGTAATTTCATAGCAGGTGTTCGTGAGGACATGGAGGAAAGAGAACCCTCAGATGCTGCTGGTGGGAATGCAGACCGGGGCAGCCGCTGTGGGACACAGCATGGAGGGGCCTCAAAAAAATCTGTCCTGTGATCCAGCAATCCCTGCTCGGGGTATCTACCCCCCAAACATTGGAAAACTATTCACAAAGATACATGTACCTATGTTCACTGCAGCATTATTTATGGTGGCCAAGATATGGAAACAACCTATGTGTCCTTTGATTGGTGATTGGACAGAGAAGACGTGGTGCATACATACAATGGAACACTACTCAGCCATAAGAAAGGATGAAATACTGCCATTTGCGACAACATGGGTGGACTGAGACAAGTACCACGCTAAGCGAAATAAATCAGATGGACTAAAAAGAGAACCATATGCTTTCACTCATGTGGGAAATAAAACAGAAAGCAACAGAAGAACAAAGAAACAAACAAACAAACACTCGTAGACACTGCAATATGGTGATTACCAGAAGGGAAGTGGAGGGGGCAGACGCGGAGGGTGAAGGGGGGTCAAACCTATTGTGACTGATAGAGACTTGACTTTTATACAAATGATGTGTTATTATATTATTGCAGAGGTGTACACTGAAACTTATATTATTAACCAATACCACCTCCATAAACTTAATTTTTTAAAAAAGGTAGTATTTTCCATGCCAGGAAAATGACCTGGGAATTTTTTTTTTAAGTGAAGAATGGTCCTTGTGCAAGTTAGAATCTGATACTTATTAAATGGTGACAGCTTTGCCAATAAACAAGAATATGCTCTCCCATGGCTAGGAAGGGAGACTGCCACAGCAGACAGGTCCCAAAGACACATGGGCTGACCTAGGAATTTTAAGCTCCGATCTTGATTTGGATGAAGTGTTGAAACATCAATCAGTTGCCTCGTATATACACTCTGAGAGGGGACCAAACCCGCAACCAAGGCATGTGCTCTTGACTGGGAGTCGAACCCGCAACCTTTCAGTTTACAGGATAGCACTCTAACCAACTGAGCCACATCAGTCAGGGCTGGATAGGTAGTATTTTTATTATCATCCACTTGTATTTCCTAGTTTAAATTACAATTTTTCCCCTTTAACACAGGAGCAATTTAGAAGTGTTTCTCAATCTTCAAATGTAGGAGCCTTTTCTAGCTATCCTTTTAAATTTTGATTTCTTAAGCATCCTGTTA